CTATAAAAAGAAAGCCTAGTTTGAAAAAAATGTGACAGAACTATCCCGCCAACCTGATATTAACGCGCTCTAACCAGCTGGCTTGTGCATAATAAGGACCATGGTAGTTGGATAAGGGCTCCGCAGATTCTGGCCCGTTACTGATACAATCAGATCACGTAGCATGTCATGGTGTAGGGGGACATGTTTACTCCCCTTTCCCGAAGTCAGTCGAGCACGGTGGGGAGCTTCATTTTTAATCAACACCAAAAAAAGTTCACCACGCTAAACATATCATCCTCTTCAAGCTGTCATCCTGCCTCTCCATCCTGCGGTGGGAGATACCCAACGTACCACACGCCGCCGGAGGAGAGGGGGAGGATTACGAGCCTGTGGTTCCACGAGTCAAACTTGGTTCTACTCCGACCATCTCTCTTTCAGGGTAAGTTTGTTTGGGATCCCTATTTTCGTCCCTCATACCGCAACTTCCTAAGCCCACCATTTTATTTGCTTGTTTACTTGTTCTGTCCAAGAAGGATCATTCTTGCGTAACGAAGGGGGGAAGTAGTAAATGCCCTCGAAAGGCGTTCGGGATCGTTGAATGTTCCCAACTTCAGGAACGCGATACTCTTAGCTGAAGCGCAGCTAAATCATTATTTCTGCAGAGTGTTCAGAGGTGTTTAGCCTTCTAGAAGTTGGTGGGAGAACAAAGGCTGAAAAGTGTGCGAGGTTAACAAGGTTGTGAAGTGTGCGAGTACAAAAGGGGAAACTTGGTGAAAGGAACATATCTAGCGAAAAGTTTCCACAGTGCAATGATGTGCCCTGCCTCATACCACCGATCATGGAAAAGGAATGTAACTATGAGTACGATTCATAGGCAACCCGGCTGGGCATATCATGCGATTAGGACCACGCAGGCATAGATACAATGCCCGGCTATTACCTGTTTAGCGTTGATAATCGCTGATCGGTGAGAGTTCAGGGTGGCGATAGTGCCCTTCACTCGATCTGGGGGTACCAGGCGTATCACTCAGACATGACTGTGCTCTGTTTCTGAGATGTAAGCAGTGTCTTCGCTCGATCACTTGCAAACGAAGCGTCTGAGAGGTGTCAATTGGAGGTGAAGCGAGTGAAAGGCATACGAAACTATGTATGTGAGGCTCACCACTTCTCTGCTAGAATCAAAGTTCAAACGTCAAGAGTGGGTGTTGTTCAGGATGACTCTGGTGAGTCATATAGACTTCGAAGGTACGGTCCGTTAGGTATAGAAGATGAAAATATGGCGTTGGGAGGGTAGTGTGGCCTGCGACGAACAACCTTGTACCGGTTTCGCGGCAAAAAATTGTAAGGGAGGGGCGCTATAGCGCAATATAGGTCAGTGACCTCTCCTTTTTCCAGTGACTCCGCCTCCAGACTCCGCCCTCGAGGCCCGAATTTCAAGAAGAAACGAAGCTGTAGGGCGAAAAAGCATGAAAATTGTCACTTATACGGTTGTATAGTTCATCGGGGAATCAGCTGTGCGGATAAGGGCGTATTGTTGAAGATGGACGTAAATGTTCGCGTACAAGCTGGGATCGGAATGAGGATTTATTTGGGCCAGCTGGCATGTTTTATTCTGCTTTTTTCTTCACCATCGAGAGACTCTCAACCTTGTCGTCTATATGCGAACACCCAGTCCACTATCTGTAGGGATGACGGTTGGTCCAAATGGAAATACTCCACAAAAATTCCTTTCCTATGCCACTCCATCCTACACTACGTTTAGATGGATACGCAGCCAGACATTCTCCATCACCTGCATCTCGAGTGTATGAAGCAATGACGGGTATTATAGTTGTGCGCCATTGATGAATCCAGATCTTCAAAATGGAAGGAAAATTCTGAGAAAATGGGCTAAACGTCTACTCTAGTGATGTGCTGGATGGGAAACCCAGTAGTTGTTGAGAAACTGAGTAGAAGGGATCGCTTATAGTGGTTTTCTCAGGGGACCTGGGATGAAATGAGTCCGTTCCTGGGGAGAGTCGTGTTCTCTTTGCTCAGCACGTATTCCATCAATTCTTTTCGCTCGCTCGCTTTAACAATTGGTCAACAATAGGCTGGCGCCGCGCCTAGCTCAGCCCCTGACACGTCCCGACGTCTGCAGCAAAAACGGCTGGCAACAATAAGAACAACATGTCCACACTCTCCCAAGAAGCTGACGTTCTTTCCGAACATTAGAAGGAGCCGGCATCAGCCACAAGCAGGCAATGTTGCTGAGGTATCGCGATGGCCGGGCTCTTGCGGGCCAACTGAGTCGTCTTCTGCGTCTCTGTTAAATCGTCAGGCCACCCACGCTGCGCATTCATGCCTAAGGGTTTCGGATTCTTCGGCTTTCTTGTATCACAGCCTAGCCTTCAAACTGGTTGCTGCAGTTTGTGTTGGTTGGACACTCCACCCACCCTAAAATTGCGATGGCAAATGACAACTTTTTCTCTTGCTTCTCGCTCAGTATCGTTTAATGTTGAATCAGATAGAATAAGAGATGTTGGCAACGTATTTACCTGGTGCACTGCCGACTTCCATAAAAGATGTAAATATTACGGGGGTTTAACGTTTGCCGGTAAGAAATACACATAGCGGCTTTGTTTTTTATGCACTGGTGGTGACCACTGTTTCAGGCTGGGACTCACCAAAAGAAAAACACCGCAGGTTTGTATAATTGAATCGCTGGAAAGGAGGCTTCATATTCGGCTTCAGGGATATTTTTGTGTTCTGATGTCCTATACATCCGCCTAATTGGCGCCGCGAAAAAGCCATTGACGCGATTTCGGTTGAAAGATGTAGGTAAGCTGGAGAAGGAGATCGTATCAAAGGGAAATATGGGGGTAGGGCCCGTCACACGTTAGAGACTCCCAGCGAGAGGGATTGTATGAGGTAGCTGGAGGGGCGAGGGGTCGTATTTGCCTTCAAAGATGATTTCGGTTTTGACCCTTCATTGGTTCTACCTGTACCAGGCGCGCTGGCTATAATATCTCCCACTCAGAAGAAGTATTGAATGGGGGCTGTAGTTTGCGAATCTTGGCTTTTTAATCCTGACCCATTCTCCTGCGCTTGGTCCAGAGAAGATTGACCACTTGTGGAATGTAACGCACCAGACATTGTTATTCAAGGAATGTCCAAATATTTTGATCAATTGCGACTATGGGAGGGCAATCAATCACTCTTTGAAAGTGTTATTGATGGTTGGTTGAAATTCACAGATTAGGACGGCGAACTGGATTCCATTGAACGATTATGAAGGCAAATTTGGAATAAATTTCAAGTTCAAGTTGGAAAACAATCACCTCCGATGCAACAGCGGTAGTGGCGTGGCCGCAGAGAATAGACGGTACCGATTGTGATTGCCTCAATTCACGTCCATCACTGGGCATTTCCATTTGGTTTCTGCAAAGATTCCTGCCAATTTGTTATCGATCTTTCATAACTTTGGAGTTATTATTTAAAAAATGAAGAGGAAGAGAATAGAGCGAGGGAAAGCAGGACAAAAGGCGAAAATCGTATCCTAAATGCAAAAGACAGACGGTGTCAGGTGTGTAGTGGACAGACCTGTCTTTTCTCTCCAGGGTCGTGTACGGTGTCGACGTCATCAACGGTGGCGTTGAGCACCTCCTCTCGTCTGCTGCGGCGACATCATCGTCATGTTCGTTTCGGTCTAGGGAGGAATCGCTGAAAAGCCCCTTTCTTTTCACAGTTGGCTATGAATCAGCTCTTGCTGAGCACCACTTGACAATGATGTTTGACATTAAAGCCCCATGCCTTTGTAAGGTCTGCTGGGCGGACATGCCGCTCTTAAGGAGGTGAAACAAAAGCTTCAGAATTCAAAATGGCGCTTGCCAAGACTTGACGTTCCCTTGCTTTAGAGCTGACAGTGCACAAAAGAGTCAGCCACTTAGCCTTCGGCATGAGATCCAAGAAACGACAGAGGGTAGCAGTTCGGCTTGATGGG